GTTACAAAGTTCTATCTGACATTTTTTTTAGCGGTTTTGAGTTACAAACCAAATGTTCTGTCTGCTCTATCAAAACCGTAAGAATTGTTGGAGTCGTTATCAAGTAATTTGAAGAACTGCATTTGGAGAAAAAAACCTTGATATTTTTTTATATCTCAGAATGATCAAGTTCTAGATTCTGTCTGACATTTTTAGCCGTTTTGAGTTACTAAGACAATAAGGTCAGAAACAAATTGTTTTATCTGCTCAATCAAAGTTGTAAGAACATTTGGAGTCGTTATCAAGATATATAAAGAATTGCATCCCAAAAAGCTTGACATATCGTGAAACCCAAAACTTTTGACGTCAGATTTCTCAAAAGTAGGTATTGAGCAGATACAACTTTGTAATTCTGAGGTAGCGTTATGACTGAGTCTGTACTGGAATGTTGACCTGGTCCTTCCTGAGAACAAAGCTGGAATATAGGAGCTGATCTTATGAATTATGTAATTGTTACACTACGTAAATTCTCGATTTGTTGCAACGAATTTGATAAGCCGAATCACCCATCAATTTTAACAGAGAAATGATGACGGAATTGGTGACTTGTAACGACGAAATAAACCGAGTGATCCATTAATTGTTATCACAGAAATAACGGAGTTAATCGTGGTTCAATTTGTTACAATGAAAAAAAACCTGAACTCATTTCGCGTACACGTACCAGTGAGATAACTGAATTGATTATAAATAATTCGTTACAATGAAATAATTAAATCCGTTATGAATAATAGTGAAATAATGGGAATAATTATCTTCTACAGTGAAATAACCGAACCCATTACATAAATTATTTGTTGCCGTAAAATGATAGATAGATAGTCTTTTAACACTATTTTCTACTTTCTGTAGCTGCTAGGAAGGTGTATGACTTCTCTTTCTATTTTGATATTTAAGGGCATCATCGGTTCATGATTGACGAAGTATTATTATTATAATTTTTTAAAAATAATATCACTTCTATAGCACAACTCCCTGGATGGTCTTGGCACCTAACTCTTTACCACAACAACAAATAAATATAAAA